ATTGAAGAGAATGAATGATAATCCATATAAAAATTATTTTGACTCCCGGACATATAGTCTTTCGTGACATTCTGTCCGGGAGTTCGTCCAGAAGTGAAAAATCTAAAGTGCCAAGTCCATTGTATACTATGGCGAGCGGCGAAGATTAGAAGCTTTAAATTGTTAACTGAAATTGGTCAAAAGGAAGACTATCTATACCTAAATACARTAAAGTATCTTTGATTTGACTGGATTTACATTTTACTGTGATTTGGGTTTATTATTTTGACTCCCGGAAATATAATTTTTGAAAAATCTCAACTAAAGCTTTTATTTTTTAAATTTACAAAAAAAAAAAAAAAAAAAAAAAAAAAAAAAAAAAAAAACAAACAAACAAAAAAAAAATTACAGGCGCGCGCCTGGAGTTGACGGTCCTTCTGAGGGACAAAACTGAATCACGGCTCACGCTATAAAAAATATTCACGTCTCATGGCTAATTTTTTCTCATTTTCACGACTCACGGCTAATTTTTCAGCCGTTTCACGGCTCACGGTTAACCCCATTGAGACCCTCTTGTTTCGTCATATATATTTCTTGCCTAAGCCCCTTTCTCCCCCATTTCAACATTGCTGTAGTTCGGGTGTTTGACGGTTTGCGTTCGGTCCGTTAACAAAACTGTATCAGGGGTGGTGGTTTCGTGTGTAGAGGAGCAACTAGGCAGTACCACTTAACCGCCTATTGCCCAAAAAGTCCTAAGTGATTGTCCAAATTTAGACGATTTCTGAGTTGAGTGAGCACTATATAATAAATTAATAATGCATGAGCAAGCTAACAGAGCGAGAGTATGATTTTATGGGACCTGGACTAAACATCATGGATAAATTAGGCAAGAACATTTGATAAGACTGCTTACATTGCAATTGGTTTTTATTTTTCAAACATCTTGCAAAAAGAAGCTCCTGATACATACAACTGACCATATCATTTTAACAGCAAGATATAAGCAARATTTTCAAAGAATGATTCCATAAGTTGTAGTTTTTGTTCTTTAGGTTATCTGACTTATCCTAAATATTGTATTATACTTTACTCCATGCTTGATTATAATGACAAATCAATAATTAATATTGCTACAGGCTTGTACAAATTGGATATTATCAAGGAAGAAAAATCCTGTAACTATTAAATCGGATTTGGTCTGAATCTTCACCATATTTCAAGAAGTAATKTAAAGTTCTCAGAATATTTCTCTGATTATTTCCGAAAGCCATATTGTGATGTTTAACATGTACACTAACAGAACACTTATCTTTATTTTGTTCTAGTTTGTTCTGGATTTGTTCTAGTGTAATCTCTCTACACTGGGGGGAAGTTGTACTGTRAGAAGCTGGTTGAATAGCACTATCCAGCAGAGGAAATCCATTTACTGGTGCATAACTTTATCAAACCTTTCCCTAGTTATTATCAGTCAAGAATACCAAAAATACAAAAAAAATGTCTGYTTCTGTTRTTGGGCTGCAAACAAGGCTATGATCTATCTAGTTATAAAATCAATTTCGACTAACTACAAGTAGATGTTGATACATGTGCATACAAATAAACATGCCTGTTAGTTTTTGATCATAATTGCAACTTCACGTTTTTACTATTTYCTGTACTATATTTACAACAGATGGTCACACCATCTGTGATGTCTTGTTCACATCACTGTCTATTTGTTCTTTGATTCTTGCTTTACTTTGTAGTCATTTAAGGCTGCTTTGATGGCATCTTCAGCAAGCACTGCAAATTACGTTAAAACAAATATTGAATATATTATAGTTCTTCATTAGAACATAACATTCTATTTTTATATATAATATTGATGATACAAATTGAAGAATTWTCTTTTATAACGTTTTCTTCATTTGTTTTTAACACACATCCTATCATTCAAGGATATGGTCAACCAGCAATCCATGTTTTAGATTTTGCTTCAATAAATACAAAAATCAAGTGGTTCAAATATCCATTTGCAATCTGTTTCWATTGGTAGGTTCTTACAATATCTCCATTTATACGGAATAAAAGGATAAAAAGAGCAAAGTTTTGTTAAATATTACAGTGAGTGTATTTTTTGCTTTTTGTTTTCAAAACATAAACATAACCTTGTAATGGATGGCTGTTGACCATGTCTCTTTAAAATTGTCTTAAAGGCCCAGTTTGCATCATTATGTTTTGTGTGCCTGTTATTGTTATGATTTACACCAAAATACTTCTAGTATCCAAATATCCAAAATTCTAATATTATCTTTTAAAGTGCTTAGAAAAGTGAGATGTTGAAAGATTCGAAATGCACAGTACAATTTATAGACTTTCGGTAAACTGAAAATGGCCGCCCGAGGATCCCAAAGCATAATGGACGTGCACACTGGGCCTTTAAGTGTACTGTTAGATGACCAGTATAGTATACCAATATAAGAGTCAATGGTACTTGTAATCATGAGGTTTTGCTTACTTGAACAGTGCAGCTTGACAGGAGGAAGAGACAGTTCCTTAGCAATGTCTGTGTTTTTGATGTCTGTAGCCTCTGATACCTGATATCAATAGTTACACTGTATTGTTACATGTMCCTTCTCAATGTCCCGTCATAAAATTGAAGTGGTTGGAGACACACTAGTCTTGATTAATGCCAATGGTTCAAAAATTCCAATGTGCCATCAGTATGATAGTGTAAAATGTAATATACATGACAGCACATAAAACCCTGATTTCAGATCCTCAGTATTGTCTACAACAAGAGCCCTTGATTWTTGTTGCAAAAATCACAGACTTACCAGACTATTGAGAAGAGAGGTCTCCTCCAGGCCTCCTATGCCGATTATCGGCCAAAAGCCATCAAAATCTCCTCAAAATTACAGAAGGTTATTTTCAACATTCATATTTGGGGGTCTATACATGTATATTCTAGTTTTTTAGCTTAGAAAGAAACTTTTAAGGCTTTCTGAATTTGGGATTCTTTTTGCTGTGCGATGTGTTTTTAATCCGTGCAATGTGTTTTTCATCCACACACAGCAAAAAGAATCGCAAATTTGCATTSAGAAAGCATTAAAGAGATTTCAACGGCTTTCGGCCGATAATCGCCATAGGAGGCCTGGAACCGACTTCTCTTCTCAATAGTCTGGTAAGCCTGTGCAAAAATAAGAAGGATTTGGGTACGATAATGTTATCATTATTACTGGCTTCTTACAAAAACATCCACTGTTGTTAAAAATCTAGTGCAGATCAAGTGTGGTTAAATAGCTTACTGATTTTCCTTTGATCCATTCTGTAGCAAGAGAGCTTGATGCAATGGCTGAGCCACATCCAAATGTCTTGAACTTGGCCTCAACRATTTTACCATCGTCATCCACTTTTATCTGTTTGAAAAGGCAACATCATTCCATGTGGTATATGTTGAACACAGACATAAGCTCATATTCTTCACTCTAAGGTCTCCACACATAATTATACTGTAATTTTTGCAATAAATGTTGCACCAAACTGTTTTTTTTTTTCACATTTTCACTTCCAACAATCACAATCAAAGTTACAAAGTTAAAAAGAAATCATCACCAATAGAAACACATTTTAAGTTACAACGTATACAGACTATAATTAATTATTATTTTAGCTTATTTGACATGTATTTCAATTCTTTTTAATCTTTTGTTAATCATTGTTTATTATTAGTCAGCAAAAATTATTGCATTATGATTTCTTTCGAAGTTTGTTTTTATTTTATTCTCTCCTTCGAACTAAGGGGCAGAGCTTTTTGTAAACTCATTCAGCCATTGACTGATTTGCAGCMAGCTCTGCCCAAAAGTCACAGAAAAGCTAAATCCCAATGATTTTTTTCAAACATTAAAGTCACATGTGATGCAATAGTTTTTCCTGTAACAAAAGTGATATCATCAAAAAACAATTATTGTTTGACTGTCCAAGTTCACAAGTTATTTTAATAATTGCAGCGGCCAGGACTCTAGTCATTCTATCAGTTTCTTTAAGCAGATTGCAGTGCTTTACAGTGCTTATTTCTTTTTATTTAATTATATGCAAGAAACCTCATATAGTTTTACCTGTAATTTCATCACATCCCCACAAGCTGGAGCACCAACAAGTCCTGTACCAACACTTGAGTCATTTTTGTCAAGAGAGCCAACATTTCTGGGATTTTCATAGTGATCTATCACCTAAATTGACAAAACCATAAATAATATTTATGAATGTACATGACCAATATTTTCCTGGGCACAAACTCAACGAATTCTTTGAGAAAAGGCCATAACTGAAGCTGCGCATACATGTATGGCATGAGAGAGCCATGAAAACTAGAACTGCTTGTGCAGTGAAAACCTWGAAAAGAAATGCTGCTGGAACCTAAATTGGCAAAAGATATGAATTAAGTTTCAAAAGYATCTATTTTACAAAGAAATGTTTTGTAGCCTCGTGTTCATGTTAATATGAAGAAAAAAATATAAAACTTAATTACTAGTAATAGTATAAAATTACTTTACACTTTGCATCCTTATCACTCACGATGTGACATCCGATACTTCATTTTGTTTTAATATATTTATCAAGAAGTTCACAATGACGTGATAAAGGTCTTTGCAAGGATGGACTTTGGAAAACGATCGGAATACTTGCGCATACATGCGAGCGCACTATGTACAGTAAACATGTAATTTCCAATAGTAGAAACTGCAGTTTCTAGATTGAATCTCCTTTACTCTAATATAACACGTTTTTAAAATAAAAAATGCACAACTGCTCACGATTTAGCTTAAATTTAACCGTTCTAAACTTGCATTGTCATCGCTTTTACCAAAACTTAAGTTATACATATTGCATAAGAGCTCGGTGTTCACCGATCATAAAACAAATTTGTCAATGATGCTGGTGCTAACTTAATCACAACAATAAAACAACATAAATTCTATAAAGCAGTAGCAATAATAATGACGGATCAATCTTGATGAAATGTTTGAAAAACGTGAAAAATGGCGGACACGCACACGTTCGTTAGTAATAGTTAAATATGTATCGACTTACGCCTAAAAT